TAGTGTAGACCAAGCCTAAGTGAATCAGCCAGCAAAAGGTGCTCAAGAACAAGGCCAGCATCCAAGAGAGGACTGCCTTGAACTGGCGCAGTGGAGAAAATCAGGAGGAGGCTTACCGCTTTGGTTCTCCTGAAAGGAAGGGTGTACATTTTTAAAAATACATAATTGTCCGACTAGAGCTTTCAACACGTGAGATAATCTAGGCTATCTAAGCAGCATTTCTATTGGGTGCAATATAGCAAAAGCACATCGTCCCTCTCATAATATGGAATAAGGATAACAATACTGAACAGTTCGCATTTACACAGGGCCTTACATCCAAGGAATTCAGACAAATGTGAATGCACCGATCCTCATAATACAAGTGAGTAAGTATTATTATCCCCATTTTACAGACAGAGATAAGGCACAGGGCAGGTTAGTGGCTGGTGAGTCTGTTCAAAGCGAGGAACAGATCCTAGATATACCCAGTGCTGTATCTTAGCCACCAGATCATCCTTCCTTCCCTTCTCCGCCATCTGCTGCCTATGGGACAGTACAATCCATCACCCTCCAAGCGCACACTGCACTATAGCTTTCAATAACTAAATCCTCTACCATAATCTGGGTGATCTTAATGAAGGATTTGATTTGTGTTTCAGGGGCATGTTTCTGCCAGCAATTCAGCCGCCTGGCCTTCTCCAGGGCAGCACTCTGCGTCTGAAAAATAAAATAAAATAAATACACTTTGTTGGGTTTTTGTTTTTTTTTAAAGGATGAAATGAGGATTTTCTTATTTAAACAATAACAAAATCCATTAGCAGTATGCAACAAACCAAGCTGATCACAATTATGGGTAAAAATGTTTGCGTTAAATGCTCTGTAAATTAAGAATAACTCCACAGAAGTCAATGGGGTTACCCCAGAATCACACCAGTGGAAGGGAGAGCCAGATTGGACTTGTCTGTTGGCCCTAATTTCTGCCTTGACTTACCCCCCACAACCCATGCAACCTCAATTATTTATGTCTTATTTATCTGGATTTGTAATACCCTACAATAAAAGAGCTCCCCTCCAAGGCTCTCTTTACCCTAGGCAGTCTTTTACAAGTACAAGTAGAAATAAACAAAACCAACAATTATCCCAAGATCAAACCAAATCCACCCCCCCCACAACATAAATTTAACAAATATTAATTAACCACCTTACAAAATATTCACCAAAGTCCAAAACTGCTTTTACCCATCACCCATACCCTTACAGATGAGGGAGAAATGATAGGCCCTATAGATTTCATGGGGATGAACGTCTAAGTAAAATGTGACTTATCATCTTACTAACGTGAATAGATAGGGTATAAAAAGTCACACAGAATATTGGGGAGGTGGGAGATTGTGCATGAGTGTGTGTGTGCATGCGCGTGACTAACGGAGAGAGAGTGTCTGTGTCCACATATTTTTTTAAGCTAGTCTGTACCATGAAAACATATTTTAGTTCCCTTATCAGACACTGCAGGCTACTGAAGAGCATTCATCTTTTTTCCCTTGGTTTTGGATGCCAACAATGGGCGTGACTCTTATTTAATAATAACAATAATCTAATTTATGATTATTACTCTTAGTCTTTCCTTGTATTCTCCTGCCTGTCTGTATCTATCTAATGTCTCTTATCTTTTAGACTGGAAGCTCCTTGGGGCAAGGAGCATTATTTTGTTCCGTGTTTGCGCAGCGCCTAACCTCACGGGGTTCTGGTCCAGGACTAGGACTCCTCGGCACTATGGTCATATAAATAATAACATTGTTTATTACTGTGGCATAAGGACCAACCAAGAACAGGGCTCCACTGGGCGAGGCACTGTACTCACACAGAGCAGCAAACAGTCCTTGCACTGAGGCGGGGAAAGGGCATAATACACAAGCTGAATGAACAATGTGATGTCAGCAAACATCATGATAGTTCCCAGATTTTTCTGGGCTGGGGGTGGGAGTTAGGAGGGGATCGGCTAAATGGAAAGAAAAGTGAAGGGAGCGGGACACTGAAAGGAAGGGAGGTGAGGGAGACAGGGGAAGAGAGGCAGGTGTGGAGTGAAGCTGAGGTGAAGAGACTGGGAGGGAGGGAACAGCTGGAGCAAGCTGCCAGTCAGCACAGGGCACAGAAAGTCTAGTCAAACCAGTAGAAAGTTCTCTGACTCTGATCTCTCCTGCACTGGTGTAAACCAGGAGTAACTCCAATGAAATCAGCAGTGTCAGACCAATGCGAGTGAGATCAGAACCAGACTCAATACGTTCCCAGACAAGCCTTTTGCAGCTGGGTCCCCGTTTACTAGTTTCTGCAGTTGGCCCACAACACACACACAGTAAAAGTATCGCTGTTGCCCTTGTTCCTCGCCCCACCACTCCCTATAGTTGTCATCCTTATTCATTACGTCATGTCTACAGCTCAGGCCCCCATCTCACGAGGCACACGCTGTAGGCTTGTGCCAGTGTGCAATCCCCCTGACATTAGTAGGGTTCTGTGGGGACACAGGAGTCCATCCATATGTGGCTCATTGCAGAATCAGGGCCTTAGATTGTAAGCTCTTTGGAGCAGAGACCATGTCTTTTTATGCCGTCTGTGAAGCGGCCATCACACCTTTGAACACTATAATAGAACAAATAATAATGACAATAATTATAGTAACTAGAGTAATAAGAAAAGAGCTGTCCAGATTTATGGCAAATAGCAAATCAGTAAAAGGCATGCTCTGAAATTTAAAAAGTATATAGGTATAAAGCCTCTGAAATGAGGGTCATTATCATCATGGTTTCTCCTTTGAATAATTTAGAAGGAATAATATTGATAAGCGGGGGGCGGGCGGGAATAAACTCAGCACAAGAATCTCCTGATCTCCTGGGCCAATGGATCCTGAACTGAGATGATTCTGCATTGAACTGGAAAAAGGAAAACAGAACAAGCCACTTCCCAAAGTTAAGCACACACTCAGCAGCATTCATCAGGATTTGAGGTAGAGAGGATGATGTTTTCCACAAAACCTCACAGGGAGGGAGTGTGGCGGAGGGAACTCTTTCTAATCAAAGAACTTGTCACTGTCACTTTGGAGGTAGCAGATGCCATGAACAATAACTAGGATTCTGTGCCTTTGAAATGCATTATTAACAGGTTACATTCATTGCTATCTCCCCTCCTCTAACAAGCTTTCCTTTTTATTTTACTCTGGGCTGTCTGTATCCCAAGTGGCAGGGGAACCTGTCATTTCTTATTTTCTTCCAAAGGAACAAGTGATTTTGGAGGAGAGGAGAGGATGACCAGCCCTTTCTGACCTTTTCTCCTTCAATTTCACTCCTTTCTTCTCCTCGAAAAAAATGGCAATCACACTAGGTGGAACTGACAAACTCATCTCTGTGTCAGACTGTTACATATACAATCGCCATGTCACTTGGCATCAGGAGAGAGAGAGGAGGTATTGACAGTAGTGTGGCCCCATGATGAGTCTAATCTGTTAGTAGATTTAAGCTTTCCTTCTGCATCTCATGCTCCTTCAGTGTCTACTACTTGGTGTAGGGTAAAGTTATTCAATTGTTGGGTGTTTAATTTTATACCAATGAAAATCTGCAATCTCCCTTTTTTAAAGTGGGTTTTTGTTCGTGTGTGCCCTTGCAAATTTCCCCCATGAACAATTTAGATAGTGATAATTTGCACCTTTCATCGCAAAGGATCACAAAGCACTTCACAGATCTTCATGAATTCAATCTTACAACATCCCTGTGTGGTAGATAAGTGTAGTTATCCCCATTTTATAGATGGGGAAACTGAGGCACTGAGGCAAAGTGACCTGCCCAACATCACACAGAGTCAGTGGCTGCAATGAGGTAGAATTCAGGAGCCCTGACTCCCATTCCATTGCTTTCATCACAAAGTCACACTCCATTGAAGGCTAAGTCATGGGAAAACCCATTAGATTGGCCAGACCTCTCTCCACCCTACCTATTAGGCCTAGCACAACCATGATTAAAGTTAGCGGAGGAAAACAATTAATCACTCTCATTTGGGGCTCTGAGAACTTGAGCAA